CTGAGTAGGAAGACAGGTTCAACCTCACTAAGAAAAAGCAAAGAACCAGAGGCTTTTACAGAGGGGAAGGGACAGAGTAGTTTATAGTTTGATTACACTATTGCTTTTGCAAGGCATACAAAGATATTAACTGGAAGAATAATTAATGGCTTTGTTGCACCCCAAAGGAGGTGAATGTCACCTGGATAACAAATGATGGCGAAAGCCTAGTATAGAATAATTAGTAAAACTCAAGAAAGGCTGGGCATAGTGGCCCACGCCTGTAATACCAGCACTTTAGAAGGGTTAGGTGGGAGGATCACTTGAGGCCAAGAGTTCAAGATCAGCCTGGGCAACATAGCAGGACCCACATCTATACAAAAAAAATTTAAAAAAAAATTTTTTTTAGCCAGGTGTGGTGGTGCATGCCCGTAGTACTAGCTACTTGGGAGGCTGAGGAAGGAGGATCACTTAAACCCAAGAGTTTGAGGCTGCAGTGAGTGAACTATGATCACGCCACTGCACTCTAGCCTGAGTGACAGAGACCTTGTCTCAAAAAAAAAAAAACAAAAACGAAAACAAAAAACACCCCACAAAACATCCTGAGAATGGCCAGTTCAGTACTCCAGTCCAAATAAGAATCAGACATAATCTCACTCAGGGATGCAGATTTATCCACAGGAAATAGCCACAGCAAGAAACTCCAATCTCCCAGCTGCTGTAAAATTATATCAAGTTGGTGGATGAGGTAAACACATGAAGTTTGAAAAGGATGAGCCTGCCTAGGTAAAAAGAAACACACTTAAGAACCAGAAGGACTAAATTCTAGATTCAGCTGCCACTGGGATCCCTTGTCTCTAGATTCTTCCTCCCCAGGAGCTGGGATTACAGGTGTCCACCATCACCACGCCCAGCTAATTTTTGTATTTTTAGTATACATAGGGTTTCACTATGTTGGCCAGGCTGATCTCGAACTCCTGACCTCAGGTGATCCTCCCACCTCAGCCTCCCAAAGTGCTGGGATTACAAGTGTGAACCACCGCCCCTGGCCCCTTGCCTGTAGGTCCTATTCCTACTCACTCACCTCTGTAACATCTCTTTGAACCCCTCCTGAGTTCTTCATATTATCACAATACTCTATACCTTTTAAAATTTAGAAACCACACTGCAATCTTTTATTTATATGCTTTTCCCAGGAGCTTCTAGATGGTAGGAATGTGAACTGTGCATTTGTGCCATGTGGGTGCACTGCACAGTGCTTGACTCACAGTAAATAAGCTTTCAAAAAAGATCTGCTCAGTGAAAGGATGGGTAGATTCCTTTTATACTGCATCTGTATCATTTGACCTGATCCGTCCCATCATTAAAGCTGTCTTCAACCCAACCTAAGAGGCAGTGATCTGGAATGTCCTTTGAGCTACAGATTGTGAAGTTCTATTCCATTCTGAGTTTGAAGAAAGGGCATGGATTCCTGTGTGTCTGGGCAGAAAGTGGTTTCTAGGACTCTTGGCAAAGCCTGCAGGTCTCTAATCCCAGTACATGTACTGGCAGATATTTCTGTTTTAGCCTTGCGCTTGGAGTTAGTATTTAACCTGTTCAGGGCCTTGGTTTTTATACATGAGAGACAACTAGTTTCTCTGTATTCTTTCTAATCAGTTACCAAGGCAACACTACTTTTCAGATTGACCAACTGTTCCCAGTTATTGCCTCCAGGAAACAATTATCATTACAATGAAAGTCAACAATTCTACTATTTTTTTTTTTTTTGAGACGGAGTCTCGCTCTGTCACCCAGGCTGGAGTGCAGTGGCCGGATCTCAGCTCACTGCAAGCTCCGCCTCCCGGGTTCACGCCATTCTCCTGCCTCAGCCTCCCGAGTAGCTGGGACTACAGGCGCCCGCCACCTCGCCTGGCTAGTTTTTTGTATTTTTAGTAGAGACGGGGTTTCACCGTGTTAGCCAGGATGGTCTCGATCTCCTGACCTCGTGATCTGCCCATCTCGGCCTCCCAAAGTGCTGGGATTACAGGCTTGAGCCACCGCGCCCGGCCAACAATTCTACTATTAACAATGATTGATGACACCACTCCTTGTTAATAAATGGTAAGGTCATCAAGTTATAATCTAGTTTCTTGCCTGGAAGTAAATGTTCCAAGTGTTTAGACATACATATATATATGTAAAACTATTTCAGAAACAATATTCTACATTTTAGAAACATTTCTTACACGTTTTAACTCAAGAAAATAAATCATGATTCTCTCTGATTAACTTCCAAAAGATGAGAAGCAAATAGACAATGAAAAAGCTGAGGCGAATAATCTGAGTTATGTGAATCAAAGACATGAAAATGCTTATGGATAAGAAATCCTCTAAAGGCCGGGCACGATGGCTAAGGCCTGTAATCCCAGCACTTTGGGACACTGAGGCAGGAGCATCGCCTGAGGTCTGGAGTTTGAGACCAGCCTGGCCAACATGGTGAAACCCCGTCTCTACTAAAAGTACAAAAATTAGTCTGTGTGTGGTGGCTTACTCCTGTAATCTCAGCATTTTGGGAGGCTGAGGTAGGCAGATCACCTGAGGTCAGGAGTTTGAGACCAGCCTGGCCAACACGGTGAAACCCAGTCTCTACTAAAAATTAAAAACCTAGCTGGGCACGATGGTGTGCACCTGTAGTCCCAGATACTTGGGAGGCTGAGGCAGGAGAATCGCTTGAACCTGGGAAGTGGAGATTGCAGTGAGCCGAGACCACGCCACTGCACTCCAGCCTGGGAGACAGGGAGACTGTCTCAAAACAACAACAACAACAACAACAACTCTAAAAACTACAACTTGAAAGTATCAAGTCTTTGTTCGTTTAAGCCTAGTATTGACCCTCCCATGGCCCTCCCCAAAAGAAAAGAGAATCATCCAACTAAAACTAGGTAGAAAGATAACCCATTTCTTCAAGCAAAAATCTAAGATCTTCCGCTTACAAAGGTACACAATACCCCTAGGAATCTTTAGGAGTTTACTTTCTTCTCCCCAGTTTCATCTCAAAACATTTCACAGATCTCCGTTTCCCAAACCTGACTTTATTCCATGCACCTGCACTTCACTATGTATGCCTTACACAGCTGTCCCCTAGAATGCTTTACCTTAATTTGCTCAGCAAACTCTTAACCATACTTTCAGTCTCCTGTGTGAAGATTTCTCTAGGTTTTGTAGGAAAACTTAGTCCCTTTTTCCTCTGTATTTCCATAGGATCTAGCTCACACTTCTATCCTTTTTCAGAGAAGTAAACTTCTCTCACTAGAGGAAAATTGTCTGTTTTCTACCCTGGAATCTCTGAAGAGTAGAGAATGTGTTTTATTAGTCTATTTTTAGAGTAGGAGTAATATCACTTGGTATCTACTGAATGAATAAACTAAATACTAAAAACTACAAATCATGTTGTGTGTCCGCTATTTGCAGAGCAATAGGCAATGTTTATGTATTTTGGGAGGCCAAGGTGGACGGATCACTTGAGCTCAGGAGTTCAAGACCAGGTTGCGCAACATGGCCAAACCCAGCCTCTACAAAAAATACAAAAATTAGCCAGGCATGGTGGCATGAACCTGTAGTTCCAGCTACTTGAGACTGAGGTGGGAGTATCACCCGAGTCCAGGAGGCAGCGGCTGTAGTCAGCCGAGACTACACCACTGCACCCCAGCCTGGGCGACTGAGCAAGACCTTATCTTAAAAAAAAAAAAAAAAGAACGGAAGCCCCCTTACTGTCCCCTCCATATCCTAAAGAAGTAACTATATCAGTAATACTGTAAATCAAAACTAAGTTTATATTTTAACAGTGTGTTCAGAATCCCCCAATGCTATTTGTCAACCGGAGGGTACAAGTGAAGGGTGAGGGAATACGAGGGGAAGAAGCTTCTTTTAAAGCAGGATATTCAAGCCAGGCATGGTGCCTCACACCTATAATCTTAGCACTTTGGGAGGCCAAGGAAGGAGGACAGATTGAGGCCACGAGTTTGAGACCAGCCTGGGCAATACAGTGAGACCCCATCTCTACAAAATATATTCACCAAGTATGGTGGTGCACACCTGTAGTCCCAACTACTTGGGAGGCTGAGGCAGGAGGACTGTTTGAGCCTGGGAGGTTGAGGCTGTAGTAAGCCATCATCATGCCACTGCATTGGACAGAGTGATACCTTGTCTCAAAAAAAAAAAAAAAAAAAATTTTAACAAAAACAAAAAGTAGATAATCAATTGTTGCTTGATTCATTTCAAAGAATATTTAAATGTTCTAGCTCAACAAGGTAATTGACCACACAGTATGGTTTGGAGGTTAAAAGAGTTTTAGATGGCAATGAGCATATAGTAAGATTCAATTCCAAGGTAGCTGGGTTTTTAGCTGTGTGCTCTAGTCCCAATTAAATTTCATTAGCATGGTAGTAAGAAAAAAAGCCAGTTGGGTCGGTGCTATGGCTTCATGCCCTGTATTTCCCAGCCACTTTTGGAGCCAAAGTGGGTGGATCACGAGGTCAGGAGTTGAGGACCAGCCTGGCTACATGGTTTTTTTTTGAAACCGTCTGTCTCTACTCTAAAAAGTACAAGAATTAGCCGGGCCTGGTGACGCATGCCTGTAATCACCAACTACCTCAGGAGGCTGAGGCAGGAGCAACTGGCTTGAACCCAAGGTACCAGAAGGTGCAGTGAGCCTAGTAGATCGTTTGCCACTGCATCCCTGCCTGGGAAAAGGACAGGGAGACTTTGTCTCAAAAAAAAAAAAAAAAAAAAAAAAACCAGTTGAAATCAGAGGGCAAGTGGGGTGAAAGTAATGAGGAAAGGAACTTCACAAATGGCACTACAATTAAGAAAAGACATTACCAAATGGGTACTTCTCCAGTTGTAAAATAGTAGCAAGTTCTAAGATAACAAATGGTTTTTTCATCTGCTGAGCATATTTTATTTATGTACAAGGGCCTTGAAACTGTTAGAATTCTGGGTTTATAAATTACTTCAAGTTTCACACCAAGAGAGTTTCTCACCATAAACTGACATTCCCAGCTGCTGGTAGACAGTTGATGAGCTCAAGCAAACTGAAGAAAGAAATGAAAGCCAGATTATAAGAAGACCAGGCTTCACTATGGCAAAGGGAGGGCCTATTTACAGGGATCCCAAACTGTCCCATTCACAGTAGCAGCATAGCAAGTACACTGTCACTCACAGTTCCACTTGGTTTCCAGGGGAACAACTAACATGGAGCGGGTACTGGAATCTAATATGGATCATCCTTTCAAGCTTGTGCTTCCCTTCACAAAAAACACAATCCCATAAGAAGTTCTTTTCTGGCTGGGTGCAGTGGCTCATGCTTGTAATCCCAGCACTTTGGGAGGCTGAGATGGGCGGATCACGAGGTAAAGCAATCAAGACCATCCTGGCTAACACGGTGAAACCCGGTCTCTACTAAAAATACAAAAAATTAGCCTGGCACGGTGGTGGGCGCCTGTAGTCCCAGCTACTCGGGAGGCTGAGGCAGGAGAATGGTGTGAACCTGGGAGGCGGAGCTTGCAGTGAGTTGAGATCGTGCCACTGCACACGAGCCTGGGCAACACAGCGAGACTGTCTCAAAAAGAAAAAAAAAGAAAAAGAAGTCCTTTTCTGAAAAGTTGAGCTTAGACTTCCCGACGTATGCATTAATCTTCCCTGCCTGGAAGAACATGCATAGTATGCAAAGAAACCTGATAAAGTTTCCCTAAATTTGAGAGCAGCATGAAAAAATAACAGTAGAGCAAACAGTAAGCTGGAAGAGACTGGCAATATATTCACTTTTCCTACTTCCAAACAGGGTAAGATCAGCAAATAGATAATTCATTTATAATTCAAAAAATGTCATTAGGCATCATGTATATATAAAGCTCTAGGCTGGGTGTTAAAAAGTACACGTAAATAAACACAGACTCTCTCTGGAAAATAAAATGCTAGACAGAGTCAAAACCTAGATTCTAATCCTAAATTAACCTCTGATTCACAGTTTATGTTCTCATGATGTATCTTCATTTCTCCAAGTAGAAAAATGTTTAATTAGTGCCTAGATACTAAAAAAAAGTCTATTTTATATTTAGTAATTGTCAACCTTCTTCTTTTTAAGTACCTGAAACTTCTGGAAGCTTCTGAAGCAAGACTAAGAAAAGCATGGGTCTTAGAAACATAAATACTTGGATTAAAATTCTAACCCTGGCACTTCACCAGCTGTGTGACCTTGACAGCCTCCATTTTCTTACCTGAAAAATAGAGATAATCTTTTTTTGTTTGTTTGTTTTTGAGATGGAGTCTCGCCGTGTTGCCCAGGCTTCAGGCTTGAGTGCAGTGGCGCATCTCGGCTCACTGCAAGCTCGCCTCCCGGGTCACGCCATTCTCCTG